CCAGTGTCTGAGGGAACAGAATTTCCTCAGACTGTGGCTCTTGTGGCCTAGCCGCTGCTTGTAGCTATGGAGTTGCAGTTGCTGACTAGGATAGCTGTAGCTTAAAAGGCAGCAACCGTTAAAAAAGAGGACAACCTGTCTCTGCCTCCCAACTGCCTGTGTTAATAGGCACATGCCACTATATGTGGATTTGTTTTTGTGTTTTTTTGCAACAGAATCTCACTATGTAGTCTAGAGCTCAGATTCCCTGCTTCAGCCTCCCCTGCTAAGACTAAAGTCTTGCTTCACTGGTTATGACTTTAACTGTTTAATATGGCCGTGTCCAGGCTGGCTGAAAAGTACTGAGGTCCATTAGGATTTGAATTCTGATTCCTGCCTATTCTCCTACTGTCTGACCTGACTGTAAGAGAGCCTTCTCATACATAAGATTGTCAGATTTAAGGGAAGCAGTGTGAAGTTTCTTGGCCCTGCTTGAATTATAGTCAGTACTCAATAAATGTTAGTCAGAAAATGGCCACCGACAAGTCTTCCCCCTGGTTTCCTGTGAATTGGTCTTCTGGTGCTAGGGATGTGAATTACTGCTAATAACATAATACTACTCAGTGCTTCCTGGCTTTGCTTTCATTTTTTAAAGCTTTATTTTTATATGATGTGTATGAGTGTTTTGCCTGCATGTATGTCTGTGCACCGCAGTGTGAGAGTCTTGTGCTTTTGGAGGCCAGAAGAAGGCATCAGATCTGAAACTGGAGGCCTCTCCTGGAACTTGGGACCTCTTCAAGAGGAGCCAGTGAGCATCTGTCCACCCTGACTTTCGTTTCTTTGTATAAGTTAGAGTACTGTGAAATTATGTTTTAAATATGCTTTCTTTTTTTTTTTGGTGTGTGTGTGTGTGTGTGTGTGTGTTTGAAGACAGCTCAGTACTCCCAGTCCTGAAATACTAAATATGTGGTTGTAGTAGAATGGAGCAGAGTTCCTGTTCTCAAGGAGTCATCTGATGTCTGCTCTGAGAAGGACCACCGGGTAGCAGACATGTGCTCAGTGTCAGCTTTTTAACAAACACTTCTGTGTCATGCATCCTCTGCCATTCTGGGAGTTTGTATTGTGCACATGTAGTGTCCAATACGACTTAATACCATGTTAACTGGATCGTAAAGAACATTGTAGTGCAGTATAGATTGTTGGCTTTATCCCTTGCAGGAAAAAGAACAAATTACCATAAGCCAGTTGTCTCTGGTAGATCTTGCTGGAAGTGAAAGAACCAACCGCACTAAAGCGGAAGGGAACAGATTACGTGAAGCTGGTGAGTGCAGTGCTGTACTTACGGCTGTAACTGTCAACATCCTGGAATGACAGTTTTGTATTTATCAATGGATGGTTTCTGCTTAATCTGTGAAATAACATTGACTGTTAAACTTAGCCTTTAAGCTGGCCTTTTTTTTTTTTTTTTTTTTTTTTTGGCATGTGTGCTCTCCTCAGTGTGCAGTAAATGTCAGAAGGTAACACTTGCAGGCCCTTCTGGTTATCCTGCCTCAGTCTTCTGAGTGCTGGGATTCCAGGAGTATATCATCATCATATCTAGATAAATGATGTATCTGATAGGCATGCTGGAGTTAAGAGGTCTTAGTCAATGTTCCAAGATGAACAGTTCTTAAACATTTGGAAGTCCAATTGAGACCTGAATTTTTAGAGGTGTGATTAATATATATTATCCTTGTCTTGGCTCAGAAACCCAAATGAGATACATCAGAGAAAAAGCAGTGTGACTAAGAAATCCTGTTGAGATGTAGAGGGACAGAGTTTGTTGGCTCCTAAGACATTTGACTGTTGGAAACATGTCACTTCTAGGTGTAGGAGGGACTTCTGTCCCTTTCCCACTGTGGTCTGAAATGGTCACTTGGGATACGGCTGGCCTCCCGTGTATGAGGCACCTGAGTTCAGTCTTCAGCATCACTCACCATCCCTAATAAAAGAAAGGAAGCAAGCCAAATTAATGAGATTGTCTATTTTTGCCATAATTTAGGATTTGGGAAAAACTTAACTGTTCTGTTGCTGTGAAGAGACACCACGACCAATGCAACTTATCAAAGGAAACACTTAGTTGGGGGCTTGCTTACAGTTTTGGGGGTTAGTCCACGACCATGACGGCAGGGAGAAAGGCAACAGGCGGGCGGCATGGTGCTGGAACAGTAGCTGAGCACTAACTCTAGAGCAGCAGGGTCAGATGGCTCACAGCCTTGAGGTAGAAAGAGAGAGGCACTGGGAATGGCAAGGCCACACCTCCTATTCCTTCCCAAATAGTTACACCAATTGGAGATCAAACAGTCAGACATGAATCTATGCAGGCCGTTCTCCACCACCAGAAAATTAAGTGTCATGTTGTATTCCCAGGCTAGAGAGATGGATCAGCAGTTGAGCTTCAGTGTTGAACAGGTGTGGTGGCATGCACCTCTAATCCCAGCACCTGGGAGGCAGAGGCAGGTAGATATCTGTGAGTTTGAGGTTAACGTGGTATACAAAGCAAGTTCTAATACACAGAGGAACCTTCCTTGTCTCGAAAAATCAAAAAGCTAAAGAGTACTTGTTCCTCTTCCAGATGACCTGGGTTCACTTTTTAATATTCACATGACAGTTCACTACTGTCTGTAACTTTGGTTCCAGGGAATCTTATGCCCTCTTCTGGCTTTTATGAGCACCAAGTACATGAAGTCTATTTACATATATGCAGGCAAAACACTCAGAATCTTATTAAGATTTATTTATTTTATTAAGAGTAATATTGTATTTGGAGAGTCTTTTTAATGGAGTCGCTGAAAGCTGATTATTGAAGCTAATAAGATTAATACTGTTGAATGTATGGTGGGACATTACATGGGCAGCTTTCTCTATAATTTCCCAGCAGCTAAATGAAGCTGTGCTATAGACAAATGGATCATAGTTACTGTTTTCAAATGTCCTCTGTATCTGACTTCCTCTCAGGTAACATTAATCAGTCACTAATGACGCTAAGAACATGCATGGAAGTCCTGAGAGAGAACCAGACGTATGGAACTAACAAGGTACACAGCAGTCCTTGCCAACTGCTTTGTGGTTTAATCGTGCATTATATTTGTCTAATATTCTTAGCTTTCAAATGTCTTTATAGATGGTTCCATATCGAGATTCAAAGCTAACTCATCTGTTCAAGAACTACTTTGATGGGGAAGGGAAGGTGCGGATGATTGTGTGTGTAAATCCAAAGGCTGAAGACTATGAAGAAAGCTTGGTAATTTAAGGGTATTTCTCCTCTACGGTTGGGTTTCTCTAGGGAAAACGGCTACTTGAAGAATGGCACACTGGCTGGGTGGTGGTGCACGCCTTTAGTCCCAGCGCTCAGGAGGCAGAGATAGGCAGATCTCTGAGTTTGAGGCCAGCTTGCTGGTCTAAAGAGTGAGTTCCAGGACAGGCTTCCAAGCTACAGAGAAATCCTGTCTGCGGGGGTGGGGGGATGGCAAACTGCTCATTTTGTGGATTGACACAGGGTTAGTGATAGGCAAATGAACCATTTAGCCATCCATAAAGGAGGACTTGGGTAGGCTTACTTTTTCCAGACTCTGCTTTGTATTTTTAGCAAGTCATGAGATTTGCTGAAGTAACTCAGGAAGTTGAAGTAGCAAGACCAGTAGACAAGGCGATATGTGGCTTGACACCAGGGAGACGGTACAGAAACCTACCTCGGGGCGGCCCAGTTGGAGATGGTATGATTCTGTGTTATACTATTATTCATTTGCTTGTCTTTCTATAAACTTTAAATATCTATTTACACCCTTCTCAAGAACCAAATGAAAGAAACTTTGAACTGAAATATAAGGTTTGCTTGGTTGTTTGTTTTGTCTTATTTTTGAGAAATTCTATGCTTAAAGTAGGGCTTAGTGAAGCATACCTGTAATTCTAGCACCGAGTGAGTATGCTGAGGAGGTAAAGATAAAATTCTGTGGTTCCTGGTTCAGGGGTTCTGCTCACAGCATCAGACTTAAGCTCTTTCATAATTTTTAAATTCAATACAGAACCTTTGGTGACTGAAGTGATTCTACAGAGCTTCCCACCACTGCCTCCGTCCAAGCTTTTGGATATCAATGATGAGGAGACCCTTCCAAAGCTGATCGAAGCTTTGGAGAAACGACATCACCTACGTCAACTAATGACAGAGGAGCTTAACAAACAGTGTAAGGGTAGAGCTGCTTCTAGTGCTGTGACTTCAGAGGTAGAAACAGGTCTTAGCGACTCCATCTGGTGAGACCTCTTTAAGGAGGACTTATTTCTCGACTCTGTAATGGTCTCAAGGTGTTTAATTTGAATGGCAAGATTTTGTTTTCAACAGCTCTATTTTACTTTTAAAGAATATAAGAAGGAAAAAGTAGGTGTTTCTCTCTGCCTATTTTATTTTTAATAGTGATGGACACAAAATGGTATGTTATAATTTTCCCCTGTTTGCAAGTTATTTATATTCTGTAATATTCGTACCTCAGTGGTATAGGGGAAAGTGAATAATGTTTGTGTAGAGCAATTGAACAAATCTGGTCCATGGAAGTGACTGTCTCTGTGAGTAACAAAGTGGGTGCCAGGGTCTTCAGCTATTCTCAAACACAGGATTATTACTGTTTTTGCATCTGTAAGCAAACTTTAAGTGTTAGGGGGAGGTTACAAAATATTTATATAAGCTTCTCTTATAGATTTGAGAATCAAATTCCTGGCTTCTTTCCAAACTTGTTTTTAATCTTTTTTTCACTTTTTGTATCAAACCCAGGGCCTCATGCATATACAAAGCAGACATGTACAGGCCGCTGCATTCCCAGCCTTTCTTATGTACATTTGCCATGGGGGATTTGCTAGAGTGCCACATTCTACCGAGTATCTGCCGATGAAAGCTGGTTTTGTTTTGTATCTGCACTAAACAGCACAATCTGTATGCTTTGTTTCAGGTATGAACTTCAAAGCCTTATTAAAAGAATTTGACAGTTCTCTTCTAAATAAAGAAAACTATATCCAGGAAAAACTAAATGAAAAAGAAAAATTGATCTTAGGGCAGAAATCAGAAATAGAACGACTGGAGAAGAAAAACAAAACTTTGGAGTACAAGGTTTGTGGTCACACTTTCACCTGTGTACTAGCCGTTCGTTACTTCTCAGAACAGCTCATGT